CACACAGAGGGCGCAGTGTACACACGAGGACACGCGCGCACACAGAGGGCACACGTGTACACACGAGGACACGAGGGCACACACATGCACACCTCCCCTTTTCCTTCTCTTTCTCTCATATGAAAATTTATAGTTGGTCATCTGAAATGAGAAGCCCAAGCTTTTCTTCAGTTTGGATGCTCCTCTTATTTTTTGGCAGTTATTTGACTTTTTTGCAAAACATGATTCAAAACAATCTCCGTATTATGGCATTATTTTCCCTTCTTGCTTTTGTCAGGGCTGAGCACGTTACTAGAGCAAAGAAATGAGAGACAAAAGCTTTGTTTAATCTGTCTTACCGGCTGTCAGTGGCGTCATGTAAATGTGGAAGATTTGTGTAATTGACATTGATTTCATTACTTATTCTATTTCTTATGGACGTGACCTATATTGTGATCTTAGAATTGTCCTTTTAAGACACAGCCATTCTAATCTAAGTGGATTACCCAAATCCAAAATCCTGGTGGTCTGCATTTTCCTTATAAATGATTTTGCTTTGCAGTGTTTGTTTCCCTTATCTTCTGTGAAGCGTTCAAGAGACAGAATCCGATATTCTAGTGTGGATTTTTACCAACGGCAGTTACCAGTTGAAAACCAGAATCACTGAGTGCGCTACAAGAGTAAAAAACCTAATTAGCAATAAGGCTGGTTTTTAAAATCACAATTGGTTGCAACATAAATGCAAATGAAAATAGCACGAACATATTATTATTCCAGATAAAAATCAGAATTACATTTAGAGCAAAATCATTATTCTTGCATTTGGCCAGGGAAAACTTCCTAATTTATTTTGAAATTTTCTGTTGAGCTTACCATCAAAATAAAATAGATGTGATGCTCCAAATAATTTGCTTTTGCAATATAACTTTTCCACAAGTAACATTGGCTTTATAGTAAATATAGTTGGGCAAGTTATAGTCAGAAACCCTGGTGGTGTGGTGATTAAGTGCTACAGCTGCTAACCAAAAGGTTGGCAGTTTGAATCCACCAGGCTCCTTGGAAACCCTGTGGGGCAGTTCTGCTCTGTCCTGTAGGATCACTGTTGAGTCGGAATCAACTCAACGGCAATGGGTTTGGTTTGTTTCAAGTTATAGTCAGTGTTTTTATAATTTCAGGTTGAACTCAGCTGTCTTAATTGAGGCTACAACTTGATTGTGAAAAGGCAGAATTTGCCCTTTTCCTATTTATGTTCTTACCTTTATTCTTAGCTCACAGATGACTCTTAGGCCTAGTGGAATGGCGTCATTAGCACAGCTTTGAGCCAAGGTGAATGTTAACATTGTGGGGGATAAGTGTGGGAATTAATGCATCCTAAGAGGTGTGCTCATCAGTCATTTGCTCTGAGCAGCTGTTGACTAAAAATACTTCTGCAATTCAGTTTGAGGTAACATTTTCTCAGTTGGAGCAATTATGAGGATGTGCTTATTGGTTTCTTTGGTTTACAGATAATTGTTAGGATATTTTTAACAGTCTTCCATTCCCTGTGTATAAAATCAACAACTGAAATAAGCCTTGATGTAAAAGAACTGATTTGTAAACAGTGTGATCTTTTCTCAGCTCAAATGAAACTACAAACTACATTTTATTTTTAACTACCTAATCCAAAAATGTTTATTTGCATAGAAGGATTAGACAGATACGTGATTAAAAAAACAAAAAACAAACAACCTGACTGGTCATTGGCAACATCTGATTTGCTATACCTCCCGCCCTTTGTTTTCAGTAAAAAAAAATCAAATGAGCATCTCAGTCTAACAACAAGGTGCTCTGAGCAATCTGCGTGACAGTAGCTTGCTTTTCGAGTTGCATGTCTCTTAAATTGTAGTTTTAGACAGCAACTGGCACTCCAGCTTGAGGTGAGCTGAAGTAATTGAACGGTTAGATACCCGAATATGCGGGTGTAGAGCACTCAGTAGAGTTAGGATGGACAGATTCACTTTTCTAGCTGTTTGATAATTTAACGGAGTTTCAGGCTGAAAAGTTAAATGGGTAAAGCTTGGCGGAGACACACGTGGCAGTCTTAGAGGCTCTCGGAGCTGTTGATCCCTCATCATGACAACAGGTTAACACCTGAGAGCGGTGCTGTGCGTGATGAATGCTCAGGAACAGTGAAAGCTAATAGGACAGCAGGAATGTATTTCGTCATTGCTGTCAACATATAAAAATACCACTGAAAGGAAGGATCGTATGTATCTGGGGAGTGCGGTCATTTTGCGTATCACGTTCAGCCGTAAGCACGTTTGCCTGAAGAGATGGCGGGTTATAAAGCATCACTGTCCTCCCAGATGGAGTGCTCAAACACTTCAGTGATTTGGTGCATTGCAAAAATGAGAAATTTTGTCTAACAAGGGTTGATAATGATTCAGTAATGAACAGTTTGCCACAGAAAGATGCATTTCTGTATTCATTTAGATATTTGAAGTATTTTACACAGGAAGTAAAGCTATTATGTTGAATCAGTGTTTCTTTCTAATGAATTCCAGAATTATCCTGTTGATTTGTCAGTATGGAAAAGAGGGCCATTCTTATGTTTCAAGTGAAATAAGTACATCCTTTTGGCACATCACTCAGTAATTAGCATCTAATAGTTCTGTACTCTATTATAGTAAATCTGCAAAGCTTTGATCATATCACTGAATTGTTAGTAGTATCATTGAATCGTTAGTAATATCACCAAATAACCTTATCTGTTTCTAACCTCTTTCAGTTGGGTCTGTTTCTTCACCCCAGCCCCTCGTTATTTCAGTAAAATTTGTTGATAACTGGTTATATTTCTGGTGATAGTAATACTAGTTTGTTAGCTGAACATAGAAACAAATTATTTCACAGAGTTGCCTACCCTCCATCCCTCAGTGATATTGAAATGAACTTTTAACTGCTCTTATCTTTCTGCTCTCTGTGTTTATGAAAGCTTACTTATTTTAGGAGCTATGTAGTATGTGTGTGTGCGCGTGTTGTAAATGGGAGACTAAAGATGTGGTATCGCTTTGAATTCTCCATTTTTCTAAGACTTTCAGTTGTGTTTTTCTGAGACCCTATTTTGCCCTACAGACAGTTTGTTAATGTTTTATCTTTTAAAAAGCGAAAACGTGTGGTGATATAGATGAAAAAAAATACAGGGCTGAGAGTTAGGAGACCTTGATTTTAATCAAGAGC